TGACCGAGCACTCTGGACAAGTTGAGAGAGGTCCTTGTAGAATTCATCCTTCATTTCTGGCGAACTGCAAATTAGTCGATGTATACACGAATACGACGAATAAGCATCGACACTTCGTCCGGTAGCTGCTGACCCGTACTGAACAACACCGCGGCCGTGACACTTAGTGCAATCCCGACAATAACAACACCACGAGCGTTGGATTCCGAATCGCCTGACACACGGAGTGAATCGTGAGGATGAGGTCGAATCTGGATATTGCAAGGTGATCATTGATGTAGGTTCTTCTATGCGTGTTTCGGAGATAGCGTACATTTAAACTGAATGTTTCAATAGTTTTAGCTAGGACAGCTTTTTGACCAATGTAACGGACTGGCGAACATTGAATGCAGCTAAGTGAAAAAATGATTTTGGTTTCAACAATCTGGTAGTTTCTGGCTGGTTGGCCTTAATAGTTGAACGCTGAGTGATATCCTCTGGGTGGCGCTGACAGGTATCCCCTAAGATTCAGGATTGAGAGGAAAAAATGACAGATAGGAAAGAGGAATCTGCAAATGGGTACCTAAGACTTTGGGGCATGACATACTTCGCGGCAGCCCACACCGACGAAGAGTTTTTCTTTGAGAACTCTAACCAGAGTCTTTGAATCAATATCTGACTCACAACGCACTGGGGCGTAGATCCAACGCGGGAGTGTGACCGAACTACGCATGTGGGAGCTTCTAGAGACCTGTCACACAAGGCCCTCCGGTTTCCATTCAATAAGTCGTTCGCTGTTGCGTTGATTATCAACCCATTGTTCGGGATTGGCTCGCTGTCTAATGCACCCATTGAGACAGGCGGAACGTGGACGGGCCAACACCTTATTGGCTGGGGGCCGCCCAGCTTGGACGGGCGGTAGCTGTCCAGTGAAGTGAGTAGATTTCGCCCATTGTCGGGAGGAAGCTCCAGGTACCCCTCTTTTTATCCATCTAGCGGGGTTTTTGACCGGTAAACTGCCCGTCACCGTTTTATTTGCTGGAGTGACCTCTCCAGGGGCGAGTTTGGATAGTCAGATGAAGCCAGGAAGTGTCCGATCAGCTGGCCTTGTGAGACTGAGCTTTGCCTGACCTCTACCCACTCACTTTTCAGGCATGATTGGATCTGCGGCTGTAAAAATTCATCCTGTATAGCTCGCAGGTTCATGGAGGTACGCAAGGCATCGCACCACGTCGTGGTGCAGTCTCGTGGTCCGCATAAATGTCTCTTTAGAAAAGTGTTCTAATACTATTATACGTGAACCCATGAATAAGCGCCCAGATAGTACTACTTTTCAGTTTGTCCCTGTCTAACGTATAAAGTGACCGAAAAGGAACTTACTGTGTACGCATTCCTTGACAATCTTTCGGACCTGGCCGTGATTCTCAAAAGCGTTGTGCAAGCTGCTAGAATGAAAGGTTTCCAATCTTGAACTTCGATGAAGGCAGTTAGTTGAGCTCGTAAATTTGGTTCTATCACGAATGTTTTCCAAGTATACTTACTATCGAAAAGCATTTCTTCGCAAACTCCGTTTTCCCTGTTGTCTATGGGAATAGTTTTCGGAATCGACAGATAGGTTTGTGAACCGGCAGTGTTTCATGTGATCGTTAATTACTATTGGTAATTAAATTTTTCGTCCCCATTTGGATTAGACTGGTCATAAGCAGATTGACAGCACAAACTTGTTATGCTGAAGCAAAAATGGTGGATACTGTAACCATATGTTCCACGTTTGAACAGAGGTAGAACATTAACTATTTACTGGCATGAATGTCGTACAACTCAAACGCTAACTAAAATGTCGACGAAATGTGGACATAATTTGATTATCAGTGACAGCAGATATGATTTGTTGACGAAGGTCGATTGTTTGACTGGGTCATCATATGAGTGTACTTCACAACGTCTGTGTCGGTCGTGCACCGCTCGACGTTGCCTGAGCATCCCTATCGTTGACCTGTTACAAAAGCTTCCAGTAACAGGAATTCACATTGCTCTGACGTTATCGAATGGTATGATTTAGCTGTTACACTAGCATGAGTTAGTGATGCGTATGAAACATGATGTGTTCTTTTTCCGCGTTTGCATGCACTCACTTCCTCTCCTCCATTTCTGCTCCTATTGTTTCTTATGCACATGCCACCTCTTGTGTCTGGTGAAAGCGATGAACCCGAAGCCCAGACTGAATGTACACATGCATTCGAAGCCGCCATACAGGTGGATCCTACCAATCCGCAAGCGCATTTGACTGCTGCTGACTACTACACTGTGATAGGCAATGAACAGGTAAATGGAGTTTGGCCGCATTTTCTTATCGTCTGTGCGAATTTTCCTCACTCTAGATAGCCGTTTGCAACTTCATTCGACTACTTTCTAATGATCATTTTTGTCGAGTTAATAATTAGTTGTGCGATCTGTTCTTAAGAACGGGGAAGCGATCAAGCACGAGTGACACCTATAGACAAGAAGCTTCTTGGGGGAGCAGAATTCCCCACAGCATTAAGAATGTCATAATACTTCGTTTTTTCCAGTATTTAAATTAGTTGTAGTTTTTGCAGCCCATTTATTTCTTAATCATTTCCTTTGAAACTTTGATGTAAAATATTAATTGACATGTAAACAGTGCTATAATTCTATATTTCATTTATTGATCTTTGTTCATTGCTTATATCGAAAATTTTAGATTTCAGTCACCCGTGCATAATTTTCACGCCCGTCTCATAACAAATTCAAATATACATGGTTCCTGGATAAAGTAGCATCATTTTAATCGGTTCTGGTGTCGAGAAAGTCTGCGCAAATGAAAATAAGCAATCCGTATGTGATGCTTTACTAAGGAGATTAGCAAAAAGCCCCTTTCCGTTACTTAGTCGCAGTGGAGTGACGCTGAGCACGTCTGTCCTACCGGACTCCCGTGAAACTTCATAATCATGTTGCCTACACTCTCGCAGAGCCAGCTTATTCTCTCCAAGGTGCAGCAAAGTGATGGATTTTAGAAGGCAGTTGATTTCAAAGTTGTTCTCTTCACTCAGAGTCCGATGGTTTAAAGCATCAGAATGGTCGGGTGGGGATGTCTCGGGTTGTGGCTGGTCACCCCCCTCCTGCACCACGCGAAATGCTCCCGTACGACCAAGCATCTCAGATGGCTTCTGCTGGCAAAACCCTACTTACTGCCTTCACGGTGGACTGAACACAGCCCCCCCCCCCCCCCCCAANCCCAAAGGGATCGCGGTTTAACACATCGCTCCGCTGCCTCGTGGGTCAGGTTTTGGCTAGCAGAAAGCTCCGGTTGTAAATTCCCTATGATGATTAACCTATTTTGACCTGGGCAACTTAGCAGTATCGCGCCTAGGAGAAACTCATGGACATTTTTTTCTTTTTATAAATATTGTTGTACCGTGATTTGTTTGGCGCAGTCTGAACCCAGACGTGTGTGGACATATATTTACCCATGTTTTAAAGTATTATGATCGAATAGAAGTTTCTTATGGCTTTCAGGTCTTCTCTTTCTACAATGAATTATGTTTCGGAAAGCAAATGCAGATTTATTTTGACTTAGTGGTTTTTCCGAAGTTTGTGTGATCATTCTTTTGGAATTTTCTGTGATCTACTCCCGGGAACCACATCACTAGCTCTGAATTCTGTTTCATTTTGTACGGTTTCTTCTCGTCCCTACTCTGAACCAAACGAAAACAATACGGTCAGGCCGCTCGTGATTCCGTTCAGCGCTGCTTAGATCTGTGGTGGTCCAAATTGGAAAATTTCCTGACTGACAGTTCAACGCGGAAAACAGATAAAGAAACTAAACAGAACAGCACTTCCTCGGTGGACGCAGGCGGTGATGGAGAAGATAGTGCGACTGAGAAAAGAGACTCTATCGTCAAAGATGAACAAATTCAATTGGATATGGAAGAGGTGAGTCTTCCAGAAGTGTAATATAATTATCATTACTCCATTATCCTGTAACAGATATTCAGTGACTTCACAGTCTCACAGGCCCTCAAGACAGTGTAGGACCGAGGGTTCATCCAGTCAACCATACACTCCGAAGCACTGGACTCCAGTTTCGCTTTTATTAGAGCTCACTAGTAGTACACATTCGCCGTCCCGTCCAGGCTTTGAACTCTGAACCCATTGCATGGAATGCGCATGTTACTACCGTCCCGAATAGCTTATAACAGGGCTGAAATGAATTGCCAAAGCATGTTTTTTCATGTTACTCAGAGTGGTAACACACGCATTCCATGCAACTGGTTCCGGGTTCAAAGCCTGGGTGGGACATGGGATGTATATTGCTGGTTTCTCTCTAATGAGGGAGAAACTCGAGTCTAGTGCTTCCGAGTGTATGGTTAACTAAATGAACTGAGAATTGTACGTGAAGGGGAAGTCCGAACGATGGTCAGTTCAGATCTGCAATAATTATCCCACACCGTTACTCACAACTAACTAACTAATTATTTATATATTTCACACACGTCTGAGCCCAAACTGTGTGCCAAGACAAATCGCGGTAAAATAATCTTTGTAAATGAAAGGAAAAAATAATTCCGCTGCTTGTTCGTGGTTGGAAAACTGACGAATTGTCCAGGTTATAACAGGGGCATTTTCTTTGCGAATTCACAATCGGAACCTTTGTCTGGCCAAAGCCTAACCCGCAAGGCAGCACGTCGGTGTTTGAAACCACGATCCACTGGTCGCTGGTGACCAGTTCATTAGACCATACGAACAAGGTGCCCAAAACACCTCACTGCCCAGTCGAGCCGGTGATCACCGCCACGATCCGGAAGGTGTGTTAATGGCTCGTATTAGTTTACTTGATTGATTTGAAATCATATTTTTTATCCAGCTCCCCTTGGTGAAGCGTCAGTGGTTCACCGACCCGGTTACAGCTCCGAATGCCGGCTTTTTGTTCTATCACTTTGGTAAGAAAACACGCCCACGAGAATGCACCGGCTGGGGCTTCCTCAGTCGAGGTTTTTGGAGATATTCGGTCATGTAGGGGCATCTCTCAAGGTTCAAGAAAAGGGTAACCAGTCACGACCAGAGATACCCACCCAAGACCATAGTGAAGTTTTCGAAGGTATATTTCAAATTTGCATCAAAGTGAACGTCGAAAAATAACTTCCAAACTCGTAAGTTCTAAGAAAAATTAATATTCGTGCAAATTTCTCAATAAAAATCAGGGTGAACCCGGTTGTATCCATAACAGAACCATTTATTAATTGTGTGAATCCTATCAGATCTATGCAAAACTTCATTTTCCCATTCCATTCGTTTCCAGTTAACCGGTATCAATTCTTCCGGTTTGATATCCCTTGCTCGTTTGATGATCCGGTGGGAAATGTGGGAGGTAAGTTTTTGCTGTTCACAGACAAAACAGTTTGATTCTTGTGATAAACTTGTGAAAATTTGTTCTGGTAGCTCAAGTTGACCAACATTGCCTGCTCGTCGAGCTGGGCATTCGGTTTCATCACCATTCGAGTCGAAATCCCAAAACGCATATGTTGTGGTACTGTGAGGGTCACCTCGGCCAATGCTGAAGGATATCTGTGAGCTTATGGCCCAACTCGAAGAGCAAGCGAAAATAAATTCTCT